CCCCCACCTCCTCCTTCTCGTCCTTCTCCTCCTCCTCCCTCCTAGGAGGATTCCACTATCACCACTTCCACCTTCACCCTATTGTCACCTAGGACTGACAGCTTACCGAGTCCTTATACGTGGCAGGATTTGACATTCGCAGCCCTGCTCCAGGACACAGCACAATCATGCTCAGAAAACCGAGTCTCAGATATCTAAGTGGTGCTCGCATAGCGGGCAGCACAGGAGTTTGAGCCAGGCCTCTGCAATATTCCCTGGGCTTTGTGACTCTAATTCCAGGCCTGAAGAGATCTGGCTCGTTCCTCACGTCCCCCAGAACCAGAGATGTGTCTCTTCACAGAGCAAGGGGCCAGAAGAGACTGTGTGTGGACCTGGCCTCCCTGGTGGGTGAGACCACAAGGTGTTCAAAGTCTGTCTAGGAAGAGAGTGGGATTTCTGCCCACACAGCCACTGTCTGCGTGTCCCTGCTCAGCGACTGTCCCTCAGGCCCTACCATCGGGATGAATACCCAGACAGCAGCCACTGCCTGCAGGGCCTCTGGGAACCCAGAAAGATGCCAGACAACCTGGGGTCTCTTGGGCTGGAAAACATGGTGTGGGCAGAAAGGTAACGACAATGGGGTGAGGGACACACACACAGGGAGCAGGGAGGAGCCATCCCTGGGTTCGCCCGAGCCCCTCACCCGGCTCAGCAGGCTCTGAGTCCATCAAAGGACTCTGCCCAGGCTTCCCACCCTCTGCAGCCACACCGGCCCTGGGGGCTGTGGGCTCTCCATCCGCATTTCTGCTCTCATCGGGGCTCGTCATTGTGCCCAGTGCTCAGGGCTGTGGCCTGTGGCAGGGGCACTGCTGGAGGGGTGACCCTGTCATGGCTGGGCTCTCCTTTAACAGTGGAGAAAAATGAAAACAGGACATGCTGGGTGTTAGCATGCCCCCGCTCCAGCTAGACGCCTGCCTCGAGAGCCCACTGGCCACTCCAACGACTCCGGGAGTGGGAGCATTTAGGGCCCCACTCTGCCACCAGGAGAGCCTGAGACTCAGAACCGGTGACCACCTAAGGGAGGCAGAACCCCGAGAACCCAGGAGAAGCGACCTTGTTATCTCTCCACACACACGGCTCACAGGTCAGGCTCTGCAGACCCAGAGTCTAAACACAGGGCAAAGGCAAGAAAGCCACCAGGTACCGGCCAGGACCCAGCAGGAACACAGGGAGCCACCCTAGGGAGCCTCACCCAGGGCTGGGGACAGGCCCTCTGAGTCCCTGTGTCCACTGGAGCCTATTTGTGCTGATGGGCACCTGGGGCCACGTGTTCCAGGGCCACAGGGCAGGGAGCTGGTGGCTGCGGGGGGGGGGGGGGGGGGGGGGGGGGGGGGGGGGGGGGGGTGGTGTCTCACGCTGTCCAGAAAGGACCTGATCCAGAGGCCGGCATCCCCTCCTGTCCTCCCTTTCTGCAGCTGGACAATGTGGCTGATTCTGAGCTGTCCCCAAGGCCTTGGTGACATTCCCAGGGTGGGAGTGGGGAGACCTGTCAACTCCTGAATCCGTACAGCCTCCAAACTTGGGGCCTCCTGAAGGTGATGCCAACCCAGGCTCGAAGTGCTTCCCCAATTCTGGCACCATGGACCTGTCGAGGGTCTGCGGTGTGATGGAGGGGTTGTGGGTGCTGGCAGGGCCTGCCCCTATTCTTCCCTGCTCCCGCCCCGCCGGCCCCAGAAACAGCTGCCTGAGGCCCAGGGGCATCCTGGGTGCCCCAGAGCAGGGGCTTCAGCAGGGTCAGGAACCACTGCAGGCTTGCAGACCACAGAGGTCTGTGGGGCAGGCATGCGGGGCCCAGGCCCTTCCCCTACCCCACCCCCCTACAAACACCAATCAAGTGCTTCTTGCTGGCCTCCCGTCATGTGGGCCAAGAGATAAGAACCTCTAACATGTGCATGTGCATGCACACACATGCAGTTACATACACACGCACATGCACACACATGGATGCCATGCCCTATTCTCTCTCTCCTTATCTGCTCCTGAATCACACCCACCCACCCGTCTGCCACCAGGGCCTGGGCAAGGCCACCCCCCAGCCCCATGGCCTCTACATTCCCTGCAAAAGAGGCAGGTGAAGCCGGCTGGGTCTGGGGCACACCGGGGTGACAGCAAGCCTGCCCCCTCTGCAGGGGTCACAGGACAGACTTCTGGGACACAGCCTCAGCCTGGCAGTGGCAGCTGTGTCCCCAACCAGTGCTGGCCACCGGGGGGTACTGAGAGGTAACCAAGCCCCTGCAGGGACAGGAGGACCCAGAGGAGGCTGAGAGCTCTCAGGCCCATCTGTCCTTTGAGGGAGGAGCAGCTCTCTGCGTGGAGGCACCCTGGCCATGCGGCGGTCCAGAGGCCACTAGGGGCCGCCCACAGCCTATGGCCCCTGCCCACCCAGGGCCCTGGTCCCCAGACACAATGACTCACAGACGCTAAATATAGCTGCGCGGTGGGAGCTGTCAGGGATGAGGATGAGCTCACCGCTCCTAAATGCAGCAGGAAGCGAGAGGCAGCCAGAGCCCCAGAAGCCTCCCCTCTCGGCCACTGGGCACGCACACACGTGCACACATGGGCTCACGGCTGCTGCATGCCCCCAGGAGGACCCAGCGGGCAGACGCCCCCTTGCGGGACCCGATGGTGCAAACAGGAGGCAGGGATGCTGGCGGGAAGGGAGGGGCCCGGGGGTCGGGGCCTGTCCTCCAGGGGCTGGGGAGGCCTCGGATCCCACCCCAGGAGCAGCCGTGGGGTGCCCCCCCCGCCCCCAGCTGGCACTTACAGATCAAAGACCAGGTAGTGGAACCCCTCTTCAGAGATGCTGTCGTGGAGACGCACTGTTGGGGCAGAAGAGGCCATGAGGGGCTCACCCAGCCTGGGACCCGCCCTTGCCACTGAGCCCCCCTCCACACCTGCCCAGACCCACCTCCCGCATGGAGGAAGACCACCCGTCCTGACAAGGGCCTGGATTCCCCACAGCCTGAGGCTGGGGCGCCCCCAGGTGGGCAGGCTACAGGGCAGAGCCCAAGGGCATCCACGGGGCCACTAGGTGTCTGCTGCCCCCTTTCCCCTGCCAGAGGGAGACTGAGGCCCCTCTCAGCAACCCCCCACTCCTGCCTAGGGTGCACACAGTAGCAGAAGGGGTGGGGCCACAGGGTGGAGGCTCCCTGGACCGGGCCCTGGAAAGGAGCCATTCACAGGGGAGGTGCACAGTGGGGTCCCATCGCCAGCCTCTCGGGACAAGCTCGGGGAGCCCCGCCAGGCATTACTGGCCAAAGCTCAGGCCCCGGATTCAGGCCTACCCCTCCTGCCTGGTCTGCCCCGTGTGCTCCCGGCCCGAGTGCTCCCGAGCCCGGGGTGTGCTGGCCAGAGGGCCCACTAGCGTTTGACGGGCGAGCCAGAGAGTGGACAGCAAGTTAGTGCTTCTCAGCCCAGGCGTCAACCACTCTGTCCTCTCTGTCCAGCTGGAGATGCACAAGCACTGAACGGCACACATTTCTAGGAATGGCTCATTGTGGACACGGCCCCTCACATGCCAGCTTCTGCCTCTGTGCTCCGGGAGCCTGCCTCGTACAGACGCCACTCTCGGTGGGTGTGCCAGCCTGGGAGATGCTGCACAGAGAGGTTCAACTACCAGCTGGGAGACACACAGCTCCTGAGAGGTACACACAGCTCCCAGCAGTACAGGGACTGGGGCGTGGAACCCTGGGAGCTGCTCTCCTCTCCTGGCAGGGCAGGCCAGTGGTGCTCAAAGAGTGGGGCACAGCACCTTCCCCCAGGTCGCAGCCCCTCCCTCACGCCCCTGCTGCTGCCCTAGTTCCTGACAGCCTGCAGGCCTCCTCTCTCCTTGGTTCCAATCCTCCCAGGGCCTGGCTAGGCCGTGTCTCTGTGCCAGGAAGCCCGAGCCGGCCGTGGCGGTGCTGACAGGGGCCAAAGCCCAGCACCAAGAGTGGACTCCGGCCCAAGCAGTCGGGGTGTCCAGGCCCTGGGGAGGGGGCCACACGCTGGCTCGGGGGGGGGGGGGGGGGGGGGGAGGCGGCTGCCCTCCATTTCAGGCTCTGTGTCTCCGCTCGAGGTCCAGCATCCAGCCTTCTCCCCTCCGTCCTCACCATACTCATGAAGGTCCTCCAGGGCCCATGGCCTCCACCTGCTGCCTGGGCTCAGTCACCCTTCCCAGGGACTACGGGGAGGCCTCGGGCCTCCACTACGGGGAGGCCCCTGCTGACCTCCCTCCCGCCCACACAGCAGCCCAGGACCCACTCCACCAGCCTGCCCTGCTTCTCCGCAACACACAGCAGAGCCCTGCTCACTGCACCCTCCTCCCCAGACCCTCCTGTGAAAAAGGCGGGGTGAACAAGAGCTCACCTATTCCTGGCGTGGACTCAGCAAGGGGCCTCCTGAGCAGCCGCCTCTGCCCCCCACCACCCCCACTAAGCTCCAAGTGGAGAGAGAGGCCTGGGGGCCCCTGAAGGCAGCGCCCACTGAGGGACATTCCTGGGGTCCTTCTTGTCCTTCCCTGGGGGGGGCAGGGGTCCATAAAGCTGGGTGCTGCCCCCCAGTGCCGCTGAGAGGGGGGGTCCCGCCTCCTTGCCCGGGAGACACTGGAGGGGCTCCGTGTGGAGTGCAGACTGTGTGCACATGGACACTCTTTGTTTAAAAACATTTTTAATGTGCAAAAATATTTTAATGGCTTAGAAAAATCAGACTGATTTGTGACAGAACTAAGTAAAGAGAGAACCGTCACTGAATCCTCTTAAAAACAGCAGGTAAACAACACTGAGCAGGGTGCACGGCGACAAGAAAGTCGACGGCATCTAGAAACTGTGCTTGGACATGGAGGGCCGGGGGGATGCACCCAGGACGCTCCCCTCGCTGGGGCCCGGCACCTCCAGACCAGGGGACTGTCAGGGGGTCCCGCCACCCTCCCAGGCAGGCTCTGGACCCCCTCCCTAGACCCCTGTGCTGTCTGAGGTGGGAAGGCCCAGCCCAGATGTGTAACATCATGAGCTGCGGGCCCCAGGATTCGGACCCTGGAAACCTATCTCCTCCCCCCTGTCCAGGCAGGGAGCCCCCACAGCGCACTGTCCTCCATGGCCCCCACCTGCCCAGATCAGGGGTGAACCACCCAGCAAAGGAACTCAGTTCTAACCCCAGAAACCAGGCCCGAGGAGAGAGGGTCAATGTGCAGAGGGGAGGCTCTCTCCCTTCAGCCTTCCCCCAGCCTCCCCAAAGCCCCAAGCTCCACAAAGAAGGACCTCAACACTGCACCTGCTCTCCACCTGATTCATCCCAGGGCCTGCTGGGCACTCCCCACTTTACAGATGGGGAAACTGAGGCTCCTTCCCTCTCCTTCCCTCCCCTGTCCTCCCCACACCCGGGACACGACTGCTCCCTGAGTAAGCGGGCACAGGAAGGGGAGCCCCTCTCAGAGCCCCTGCCCTGCACCTGGCTTCCTCTCCCAGGCGCCAGGGGCACTTCTGTCTAGGGTGGGGCTGGGCAGACCCAGGCCAGGGAGCAAGGTGTTCCCCTCACCTCCCCCTGGAAGTCTGTCCCACTACCCCTCAGAGGGCCTCTCCCCAGTCTCAGCCATGCATCTACCTATTCTGGAATGTTCCATCTGCACCCCAGTGTCAGCCCTCCATCAGCCTGTTCTGGAATGTTCCAGATGAACCTGTCTCAGCCTTAATTCCCTGTGTTCTGGAATGTTCCCATGGCAGCCAGTCTCACCCTGTGTCTGTTCTGGAATGTTCCCTCTGCACGCATCTCAGCCCGGCCTCCCCAGTTTCTGGAATGTTCTAGCTTAACCTGTCCTGTCTCAGCCCGGCCTCCCCCATGTTCTGGAATGTTCCCTCTGCACCATGGGCTCAGCTCTGACTCCTCCATGTTCTGGAATGTTCCCTCTGCACAGTTCTGCCCTGTGTTCTGGAATAAAGCTGCTACGAGGACTTCCGGGACTGATCAGGAACAACATGGGGCATCTAGGCAGGGCAGGGCGACATCTTGTGAAGTGTCTCAGAACACCAACCGGAAGAACACCTGGGTCCTCCCTTCTTAAGAGGGGATTCGTGAAAATTGCTCAGAGTGGCGACCTGCCCTCAGCTGGTGCTCAGAGGATGCAGGGGAGGCACTGGCAAGGAAGGGGTGTGGGTAGAGTTGGCAGGGTGGTGCTATCTACCAGGAGAACGAGGACAGAGGGAGAGAAGTGCCTGGCATCTGGCCCAGGTACACAGAGGACAACAGCTGGGGTGGTGGGAGATCGGGCTGAAGCCCACCACTCGCCCAAACATCCCCTGCCCTCTGTCAGTGAGGACTGGGCTGGGGTCCCTGTGGACGCCTGCATCACAATCACTTGACAGGCTGGTGAAAGTCCCCATTCCTGGGCCGCCCCAGGCCCGAGTCAGGCTTCCTGGTGGCGGGGCGGGACCCTGCATGCCAGTGGGTCCAACACACTCACCTTGAGAATCTGGAAGTAAAAGCACACGGGCCCAGGCCCAGGGCTGCAGGAGCCCACGGGCACAGGGGCACAGGGGCTGCCCGGGAAGTGGGGGGATTTGCCTCCCCACCCCTCCCACTGGTCCGGGCCGGCTGGAGAGACCCAACACCCTGCAGAGCCACAACCAGCGGTGGAGGGCCCCCAGGACCAGCCCTAAGGCCTGGCGAGGCTTCCTGGGGCCTCTTGGGCCTCCACAAGGCTGAGGGCCTGGTCTGGGGATGGTTCCCAAACTGGCTGCCCCTCACTACCTGCTGTTCTTACAGAGTCCTGGGCCCCGTCCTGGAACAACTGAACCAGAATCATGGCAGGAGGGGCCCAGGACTCCACCCTGACAAGCTCCCAGGTGTCCCTGAGGTGGCACACCCAGAGTCCCCTCCGTGCCTCCTGGCTGTATCCCAGAGGGAGCTCCAACTCCCTAAAGGGCCAGATTCGGGAAAGGACAGGCAGGTGCACACACATCCCTGCTCCACAGAGCAGCAAGCAGAGGCCACACTCGAGCCACGCTGGTGAGGGAGTGGTGGTCGAGTGGCCGGCTGACTCCAGGGTCTGCGGCCCCTACAGCCATACCACTCATGGGGGACGTGATCTGGGCTTGCAGGGCAAAGGGCATCCGTTCCCCCAGGCTCCCGGGGCTCTGCGCCCCTGCCGGGATCAACGCCCCAGGTCACAGCACCAGAGACCGGCAGGGGTCGGCAGCGGTTCTCCAGAACCAGACCTTGGACCTCGGGCCAGGACTGCGCCTGCTATGGTCTCAGAGATGTTTGGCTTCCCAATGTTTTTCTTTTTAATCAGGCTGCCTTGTGGCTCTCCTGAAGCCACAGAATGTTCTCACCAGAATCACACACAACTCAGGGTTACAGAGCGAGGGGAGGGGACCTGTCCACGCAGAGCTCCTGCAAGGGGCTGCCCCGAACCCCCAGAATCTGACGTTTCCAGGGGCCTCAGGGTAGGACACGTCTATAGAGAAGGAAAAGGGGACCTTCTGGTGACTCTGCAAGTCCAATCGTTGGGGGAGGAAGGCTGCTGGCTGGAGGAGCAGAGAGGGGGGTCCCGGCCCCTCAGGGGGCTGCTCACCAATGTTGGAATGTTTCAGAAGGCGGCAGATTCGAGCCTCTCTCTCCAGCTTCTGGTGATCTGGGGACAGAAAGCAACACGGTATAACCTTGTGCCCCAGCAGCCTATGCCCGGCACTGCAGAGACGGCTGGGTGCCGGACACACTCGGCGGCGAGGACATGCCACCGCCTTCTGCCCGCAGAGCTGACGTGTCAGGTTGTGCTCCTGTCCCCACAGGGGTCCTGTGGCAGCACTGGGGCAGGAAGAGGCTACCAGGTGTTTCCAGCTCGAGGCTGTGGGCGGAGGCAGGAGCCCCAGGTGGTTCAGGAAGAGAAGCATGGAACTGAGGGCACCAATTTCATCCTTCACTTGTTTGTCCTAATTCCAAACTCTGCGGAGCCTCCACTAAAGTCCAGTGTGCTCTTCAGCGGCGGCCGTGGGGCTGGCGGGGCGACGCTGTCCACCGTTGGGGTCAGCGTGGGCCTCGGCAGGATTTCGGGGACCATCTGGGGCTGCACAGATCCCCAGAACACAGGCCCGGGACTGTGATGGCCAAGGTGTGTTGACGCTGCCATGGCAGCTGAGTCCAGGCCCAGGGGGAGCTCGCCATGGGCAAGAAGCAGCCAGAACGAGCCCCTGGGAGCCCTCCCTGCCCACCCCCCCAACTCACAGCCAGGGCTTCAATTCCAGAGGCTGCCCCTCTAAGGACTAGGCAGTTCATCAGAAATGTTCTATTTCAGGGCGCCTGGGATTCAGTCCATTGAGCATCTGACTCTTGGTTTCGGCTCAGGTCACAATCCCAGGGTGGTGTGATCAAACTATGAGTCAGGCTCCACACTGAACGTGGAGCTTGCTTAAGATTCTCTCTCTCTCTCTGCCCCTCTCCCTCAATTGTGCGTGCTCTCTCTCTAAAATAAAAATAAAGTTAAAAATATAAAAGGGCGCCTGGGCGGCTCAGTCGGTTAAGCATCTGACTTCGGCTCAGGTCAGGATCTCGTGGTTCATGGGTTCGAGCCCCACATCGTGCTCTGTGCTGACAGCTTGGAGCCTGGGGCCTGCTTCGGATTCTGTGTCTCCCCCTCTCTCTGCCCCTCCCCTGCCTGCGCCCTGTCTCTCTCTCAAAAATAAACATTAAAAAAATAAAAATAAAATAAAATAGAAAAGAAATGTTCTATTTCAGACAAACAGACGTTACCAGAAAAAATCTTAAAGTTAATGGAGATTTCAATAGCAAAATACTGGAAAAACCCATGTTTCCATTGTCTAGAGAATGCAGCATCAATGTCGCTACAGTCATACAACACACATCAACGTGTGCACACCACCCCAACACCAGGCTGAGTGAAAAAGCCACTTATAAAAGAAGACCCACAATGCACTTTTATTCACCGAGGTCAACACGCACAGGTCACTGGGCACACATGTGTGGCCTAACCGTCAAGAAAGGCAAGGGATTTCCAAGTTCAGGATGGCAGCTGTCTCAGTGTGGGACGTGACTGGGGAGGGGGGGCCGGGGGGACCTGGGGTCCTGACCCACCACTCCAGACCTGTACATGCTGAGCCCCTCAGAGCAAGAGTCTGGGGAGCACACGACCATGCCAGACAACTGCCTGATTCACCAGGACTCCAGGCAGCACCCGCCTGCAGGGCGCAGTTAACGGGCTAAGTACACAGGGTCCTTGGAGGCAGGAAGGCCGCTGTGCAGGCCTCCTCAGACCTGCCAGGCCCTGGGCCATGCGACAGTGGGGAGCCGGGAGGGGCAGGACAGTCCTGAATGCAGACACACCTGCAAACACGCAAGTGTCTTTCCTGAGCGGGACGGTCATGCCCGCAGACAGACACCTCTGGCAACAACTCAGGTCCAGCCGGCCCTCCCCTCTCCCAGCACTCAAGCCTCCAGAGAAGCTAACACCGTCCTGCCCTGCCCACCCGGCACCCACCTGCCCGGCCGGGCGCCCAACCCTGGGACGACGCTGGTGGAACCACAGGGACAGACCCTGCCCCCACTCCCTCCCTCATGTCCACACCCAGCGAGCCCTGGCGGGAGCTGAGCACCTACCCACAGACAGCGGGCACTGGAAGCAGTCCAGGCATCACCACTGGGGGGATGAATCAAACATGCTTGTAACAGAACACACGCAGCATGGATTCCACTCCCCAGTCTGTGTGCGGCTCAAAATGAGGCAGCGATAACAGAACTGGGGCTGGGGCTCCCTGGACCTGAGGCCCACCTCTGGAGGGCAGTGGGGAAGGGGCTATGGCCACAGCCAGGAGCTTGCTCCCCCTCAGGCCAGTGGGAGGGCTGACGGGGGCTGGGGGGGCATCATAGCTTTGTGTTGTCTTTCATAGGATTTTCTTTTTCTTTTTTTTCATTTTGTTTTTTACATTTATTTATTTTTGAGAGACAGAGAGACAGAGCACAAGTGAAGAGAGGCAGAGAGAGAAGGAGACAGAATCCAAAACAGGCTACAGGCAGGCTCTGAGCTGTCAGCAGAGAGCCCGATGCGGGGCTCGAACTCACAAACCGTGAGATCATGACCTGAGCCGAAGTTGGACGCTCAACTAACTGAGCCACCCAGGCGCCTCTCTTTTTCTTTTTTTTAAGTGTATTTTATTTTGAGAAAAACAGAGCATGAGCGAGGGAGGGGGACACAGTGAGGGAGAAAGAGTCCCAAGCCGGCTCCACACTGTCAGCAGAGCCTGACATAGGGCTTGAACTCATGAATGTGAGATCATGACCTGAGCCCAAACCAAGAGTTGGACGCTTAACTGACTGTGCCCCTAGATGCCCCTATAGGATTTTCTCTTAAGTTACTATGCTGAACATTTTTCAAACCTAGAGAAAAGCTGCAAACAGTGAAGTCCTCAGAAAATGCACATTTGTATAACTGGTCCTTCCGTGTGCACACGCTTACTTTTTCTGAGGGTTTGACAGAAGCCACATTAGGCATCCTTTTACCAGGGGACACAAGATGTGCACTGTGTATGTGTAAGAGCAAGAACGTCGTGCTGCATAATCTCGGCGCACGCACCCCGTGCACACCCCATGCAGTAGGTCGAACGCCGGTGCAGACCTCGGATCTAACCTACAGTCCACATCCTGGTTTTGCCAACTGTCCCAGTAATGTTTGAGCTAACCTCACCTCCCAAATGTGGATGCAGCTCAGAAGCCAGTCCACGTGTGGGTGGGCCAGAGCAAAGCTCGGGGCAGAGAGAACTCGGGAGGGTTAGGGTGGTGGGAGCTGGGGCAGTTCCCTCTGGAAAAAAATGCCAGATTTGGGTCAGACATAAAAATCAGGAGGAAAATGCAGGTGGGAACCCACCTGTGGGAAGTAGGTAACTCAGAGGCTGCATTTCATTACTGAAAGCTGTCTCCAAGGGCAAAGCTCCATCCACGAGACGGACTGGCTCCCGGGCGCATCTGGGCAGATAAATTATTTGTGTGGCCAGGAGAGGAAGCTTGCCTGCCCGGGCCCACATGCCAGCGGTCCACCCCATGGCCACAGCAGGTGTCCGACCCTCCTGGCTGGCCCCCTTCAGGATCAGGTCAGCAACACAGGGCCAGGAGAGGCCTGATGCCACGCCAGTGACAACACGTGATGCAGGAGAGCCCCAGTGCACATGCCACATCCAGTCAGTAACAGCACGGCCCCCCAGGAGGCAGAATTACGGGCTTATAGTCTCCCCGACGTCGACAACGATCTTGTTACTTTCATAATTAGGCAAAATATTGTTTTTATAAAAGGGTTTGATCCTGTTTCCAACAGGCACAAAGCCACTAATGCAATGAGGGCACATCGTGAAAACCGGCCATGGAGACACCCACCCTGAAGTGAATGGACCGTCCAGGACAGGCAGGCAGCCGTGGGAGAAAAGCCAACCCCCTAACCCTGCCCACGGCCCTTGATTTCTTCCCACAATGTTGGGAAAGTTGTTTCTTACCTTCCAGATGAATGTCCTAAACCCCATCTTGGACATGGGGACGTGAGTCAAATTTAAGCCAGTCAGGTTCACCAGAAGCCCAGCCCGGCTCTAAACCATCAGCTGGAGCCTTGAAGGACACCTGCAGGCCATCCCTCCTGCAGGCAGCAGGGTGTAGGATGGGCCAGCCACCCTGAACCAGCCCTGAGACGCCCTGCCCAGGGCCCTGCCCCTCTCCTGACCATGCTCACCGCAGGGACTTCCTGGTGGGGCAGACAGCAAGCTACCCCAGGAGGGGCTCACTAGGCACTGGCCAGGGCTGTGGGGCCTGCAGCATCTGAGTGACCAGGCCAGCCTTGAGACCAGGCACAAAGCTCGACAGGGCCCCCCCAGGGCTGTGGCCAGGTGTCCTGAGTGTCCAGGGCACCCGGAGTTGCCCTGAGGCCTAGCACCTGCTGCTTGGAGCCCCACTGCCTCGGCCACAGAGGTTAACATTTTGTTATGGAATGACGGCACATGTCACAGAACAAACACAGTACCCATTGTGTAGCTTGTGGGTTGAGAGAACCCCAGGAATCCGCCCCACTGACACCCCACGCGTCCGGCCCATGGAGTCAGTCTTCCATGTCAGACTCGCCTGCATCAACCCCACGCATGCACCTCCAGGAACTGCACTTTGAGGTCATGTTCCAGGGGAGGGTCTGGGGGTGACTTCTAAACAGGATGGGGACAGAAGGGGGGCATAGAGTGAGGGAATAGGCCAAGCTCCCCCAGCTTCTGGGAACCCCAGTCCCTCTGCCCTTTTCCCACCTGAGGACCCAAGGCCAGCTCTGACTGCATCCTGGGGACACACACAGCTCCCGGGTCACAGGGAGCAGGTGCAGCAGTGCCATGAGCCCTGGGGACAGAGGAGGCCCTGATGCCGCGTGTGAGAGTCTCGAGGGGGACCCCACACCAGAGGGAGGTTCTGGAGGAATGTGCGTTCGTGGGGCAAGATGCGATTTTCACAGCTTCTGACGCGGAACCCTGCAGGGGACTCCTGGGCTCAGCCATCTCACCTTGTAACCGCTCGCACGTCCTACACGGAGACCAGCCCAAGTGCGTGCGGGCCAGTCCTGGAGCGTTTGCTCCCATGAGGAGGGCACTGGGCTGCGCTGGC